ATCGTCAATATTTGTACTTTTTTGGTTATAAAGTGATCCAGTTGATGTTGTCCTCGCTTTCTTCGTCTTCTGTTTTAGAGTTTTTGTGTTGACAGGGAAGGGGGGGTTGAAATGTGCTATCAGTTGAAGCTTGTAAGTTTAACGGTGTTGTTTCATTGCTTATGTGTGTGTGTCGTGATTCATCGTCGATGCTTTCTGATGTAACACTGACTGGGCGTTTTTTCTGGTTAATTTTGGGACAATCAGTAGGTGCTTCGAGAGTGGAATTTTGTATTTCAGATATAGAAGTAGGTTCAAAAATAGAAGAGGTTGACGGGTTACTAGTTTGTGTTAACGCTGGAGAAACGATTTGAGTATCATTTTCTTGGGACTGCGGAGGACAAGATGCTATTAATGTAGTATCTTGTATCGGAGATTCGGGGTGTGATTTTTCAGTGTTCGTGGGACACTTTGTTGCTGTATGACCAGCTTGCTTGCAAAGAAAACATGTCATATCGTCAAAAGTAAGAAAAATTCTGAAGTTAGTATCTTCATAACTAATAACAATTGATGAGGGAAGAACATAGTCCTCCGGTGGTGGCGTAATGAATACTTGGCGTCTAAAGCTTTCAACATGACTATAATCCTCATGTTGTATTCCTGCCCGTAGTGTAGTGATTGGTGATACAATATTTAGGCCTTGCTTTATAATGACATCTTCTAATGTACTATGAGGTATAGAGCTACTCACGTTTGATAGGAGAATACGTTTGGCTGGTGTTATGAGTTTTCTAATTTTGAGTTCTGTGTCTCGTATAGAAATTGTTTTGATACTTTCGGTGAGGTGATCTACTAGAGATTTCGAAGATAAATAAATGCATATTCTTTTGTTGGAAATACGAGATGCAGAAAGAATATTTTTGGGCCCTATTATAGTGCCGACAGCTTTAACATAATCTATTAGTTGAAAGTCTTCGGAAGTGTCGATAATGATGGCTTGATTTCTTTTTGGAAAATTGATAGTGGGCGTTGTTTTGGAAACATTAGCGTAGCTTACATTTGGGGTGGTGTAACTTTGATTTGTTGTGGTCATAGTAGCGCGTAGCTACGCTACGTGTTAAACGCAGCACAGCGATTAGTTTTTATCAGTTTGTTGTGATATGGGATTGATTTATTATGATTGGTAAGGAATAAAAATTAATTTTGAGGGATCTATGCGATAACAGTTTGGGCCCACGGCTTACCAGAATTTTTCTGATGGTTTGTGCATCCAAAATTTATCACTTTGATAATTTAATCGGGCGAAAGTTAGGCACTTGTGCACTTATACGAGGAGACACACGTGCTTCACCGTAAACCCCTCTCAATCGATTTTAGTTTTGAATAATTATGGAGCACGAATTGTCCAACTTGTCGAACACGATTGTTATTTTTAATTAATTAGACGAATTTATTCAGATGTTTATGCGCTTCTTCTGGAGGTAATTTTGTAAGTAAAATAACAGTAACCTTCCGTAACAATTTAACTTCTTCATCTCCTGTCAGAGTAAATTCAATTTTTTCACCGTTTACTGTACAACAAACAGTGGGGATACCATTTTCATTTAAATTGATTACTATATTGCTTTCCATTTATATATGTTTATTTTTGTAAATAATTATAGAGAAAACTTGACTAACATATAAAAAAAAATTGGAATACTTAATAGATAAGGTTTATTATGGTTATAACCACCGAGATTTTCATCTGTGTTTACCTTTTCTTTTTTATTCTAAAAGATAGAAGATCAGATTCTCTAACAATAAAGGGTTTTGAAAGATCTATTGTTCCTTTATTAGTACTAATATCCAAAGTTTTAATGTGGAATATAGAAGAGGTAGTTTTGCTTTAATTTTCTTAGCTTAGCTTAGCAAAATAAAAGTCAAGCACATTAACACCCTTTTGTCCATGAACTTCTTTAATAAAACAAATTTTTCCTACAAATTGTAAAAATGAATAATGAGTTTTTTTCATAAATTCAGTTTCCACGTTAATTAACCTTTCTCCGTAATCGGCTAAGTCTTTGGACTGGCTCTGCCAGGCATCATCTAGTTGTCCTTTATTGACAACATCATATTTATCAATTGCATCAGCAGTTTTAACTAATCTTCTATTACCAATATCGATATATCTTTTTGTAGCGGTTAGATTCACCGAATCTTTTTTGATCATATTACTGAGTTCAGGTTTAACGATTTTTAAAATACTTTGAGAATCATCTTTTGTAATCATATTACTGAGTTCCGGTTTAACAACTTTTAAGACGCTTTCTGAATCATCTTTTTTGATCATGTTACTGAGTTCCGGTTTAACAATTTTTAAAACGCTTTCTGAATCATCTTTTTTGATCAATTATCGTTGACTTTATCCATAGCAGCATGCAAAGCACTAGTCCACTTTGTGGACGCTGACGCTAAATATTGTAATTTAACAGCATCACCAGGATTTTTTGGTTGTTTTACATTAACTAATTTGTGTCCTGCGATATCATAATCGCCATTTTCTGTTAGACTAAATCCTATACCAGGTGGTCCTCTTGTTGATTTTCCTCCTTTTTTTCTATTTTTTCTAAGAACGTATTCAGATGTCATTTATGGGCGTAAAATTTTTTCTATATTTCATTTCAGGAGTTTTGAAATCAATAGTTAAGCAATCAAAATTTTTAATGTTATTTTCATAATATTTCCTGAGTTTCTTATCCAACCCCTTTTCTCTAAATATTAAGCTTATATCATTACCATCACATGATGGAAATATTGAAAGATAATTACATTGTAAACGAATTGATTTTGGCACTCTATACCAATCCTGCGTTATATAAATCATTGAAGCATTCATTTTTCTTCCGCGTATAGCTAAATCTATCAGTTTCTTTTGATCTTTTTCCGTTACGAAATCATCAACAACAATCAAGTTTTGTTTATATCTATCCAGTTCGTCTACATCGAGTATGTATTCTATATCTGATGAAAAGTACGATTCAATTATCGGTCTTCGGCTTTGCCTTTGACCTTCATGCGCATTGCGCGTATTTTGAATATCGCTTTGTGGACACTCATTAGGTTTTTTAGGCCGAATATTTTTAACATCAAACACATTTTGTAATAACTGATAATAAGGTTCTTCTAAATCTTTCGCATACAAATAAAAAGTATCAAAAAATAAATATTTTAAAGGATTGACAACAGTATTTGTTTTACCAGAACCGCTTCGTCCTATAATGATTAATATAAAAGGCCATTTTGGCGCTAATTTATTAATGTTATAATGATCTTCCACAACCATTGATCAGGAAACCAGTCATTCATTTCCACTGCAATATTTTGCAAAACTGCCGTCGCTACAATAATTGTCATAATATATAGTTTCTAATTTTAAACGCATTCCAAACTTTAATATGGGAAAACGTTTTTTCCATACACCAAACAGACGTTCTACCACATTTCGAGTACGAATTATRGATTCATTATACAAATCTTCTGCTTCGTTTCGTGTATTTGTTAACTTGGTRATTAAATATGGCMTTAGAGCATATCCACTGTCTCCAATCAAAAGATATCTACCATATCTYCCATTTTCAAAATTTCTTTTTAAATTGGAGTTATTGAAAATGGTCTGATCATGAGTTGATCCAGGCCATCTGGCAATAATGTCTTTAAATTTTAGTTTCGAATCACTTACAGCTTGAACATTTWTGGCAAAAAAATCTTTTCTTCCTCTAAATATTTCAGCATCGTCACCTCCTGGAGAATCGATTCGTATTAGGGTACCATCGATGGCTCCAATTACTCTCGGAAACCTTGCGATTTCATAAAAATCTTGTGCAGCTTGTTCCATTTCTGCGCGGTTTTGATACATGTTAATATAGATCGGTCGAAGACTAGCAATTGCATTGGAGACCCTTCGAATGATGCGGGATGCAGATGATTTTGAAATACCCATAAAATCTGCCACTGTTATTAATAAGTTACCCGTTGCATACAACCTGAGAGTAAGTAACAACTGAATAGTTGGTTTAATGCTACCTCCTCTAAAAGGATATGTATGAAACAAAAATCTTTTTATTATTGTAATTATGTGTGTATTTTACCTGTTAGAATGCAATTTAATCAGAGGTTCAATCTTTTCCAAAAGAGCGTAAACGGTGGGCTTGGTTAAACGAAAACGGTCAAAAAAATCTACATCGTCGTAAATCTCAAAATAATTTTTTCTTTTTCTATAAATTTTTCGTCTTCGCGGTACATATTCTTCTTCGTCGGAAGAAGAAAATGAACTAGAAGAATCACTGAACACATTCATTTTGTGTGATTCAAACAACACTGACAAATTTGACGTTTGTTAAAGCCACTTTAACGAATTAAAGGAAGATATTGCAGGCTTAAAAATTTAAGGCACTTTAAGCCAATTTTTAATTTTAGTGTATTATGAAACGCATTTTATGAATTAAAGTCACTTTTAAAAGTTAAAGTTCCTTTAAATTGATTATGAAACTGGCCCTTAGTAACAGAATACGAAAATTCGTTTACCAACGAAAAGCGTTCATTAACGATATTGTTCAGAGTTACAGAATAAGGGTCTTTTAGTGTTGAAACTTTCAATGCAACGAGAAATGTCAACCAACGGCTGTCACAGTGTCACATTCGGCGTTTCTGCGTTGTTCCAGAAGGTTCTTTGACTGTATTACTGTTTTATGGTTTGTTGGCTATATAATCTAAAGACATATTAGAATGGTAAGTTCTTTAATTGTTTATGAAAAATTAATAATGTATTTTCAGGCAGAGGATATATATATCAAGCCATTTTAGCAAAACTAACGAGAGAGGAGAAAGCTGTATTGGAACTTAGGAAAAAACTGATGGAGTTGGAGTCGTTGGATATCTGGAAAAATCTAAGGAATCTCTGGAACAAACTATGGTAAGTTAATATGATTTGTTGGGAATTAATTTAAAATTAATTGTCATTGTTACTTTTAGACCCAATTGAATTGGGACAAACTAGAGAGAGCAAACCTCATTAACGTTAGAGGATTTGTTGATTATTTCGATAGTAATAGCTTGAAGAAGAGTAGCATCCTTGAAAGAACTAGCCAATTTGTAGACTTCATAAAAAGCAAAACGAAAGAATAAGAGCAATGGGGATTAACAATACTTGGCTTTCAAAGGCAATTCCCGAGGTTGTACAACAAATTATGCCAAAATGCTCACCCCATATTTAAATCAATAAATGTCTTGGTATTGTACGAAAGCGCTCTCGAACCTATTGAAATAAAAATGTTGGGTTTCATGTGGGAAGCACAACGATTGCCAAAATATTTTTTTTTATTAAAAATGATGAAAATTCCGAGCAAATGATAAGTGTATTTGAAATGTACAAAGTAGTAAAACAACAAAATCATTATTTTGAAAATTATTTTTAAGTCCTTGTTAATTTCATTTTTGTGTTATTTTTTGTTCTTGACAAGGTAACTTTGTGATTAAAATAATTGTAACTTCTTTTAATAACTGAAATTGTTCAAGATTAATTTCAAAAACTTGATAATTTATTTTAGAGGTTCTCCATTTACACAATACAGGGTGCGCCAGAACTCGCGCCCCAGAGAAAATTTTCAAGCAATGTAAGATACCGGGAACATGAAAAAAATGTTTAAAAAATTCTATCTGTCAAAAAATTTTGACATTTATTTTTTGACATTTGACATTTTTTAAAATCTATTTAAGGATACTGATAATCTTGTGCATGTTTTTTTATAATTATTTAATAAAGGTACAAAAATTTTGCCAATAAAAGCCACAAATATCATTGAACAGAGTTACAATTTAGGATACAGCTGCCTTGTTTCCTCTTTTAATAGCCTATAGCAAAAAAACTTGGAAAATTATTTTTCCAACAGAAAAAAATAGAGTCAAAGTGCAAACTTTAAACCTTCATAACTTCGAAATTTTTATAGATAATTTTTTTTTAACATTTTTTTCATGTTCCTGGTATCTTACCTTATGTGACATTTTTCTCTGGGGCGCGAGTTCTGGCGCACCCTGTATGTACAATGAATTATTCATTGCCTAGTAACTAGAAAAAAGGATTATTAATATAGTTTCCAATTGATAGATTTTTCCGACGATCGTGTCTGTAAAATTGATGTAAAAACTATATTTATTAATGAATTAGAATTATATGCGATTTTCCCCTGCTTTGAAGTTTGTACTATATGGGTCAGCAGTTCTTACATATCCAATAATATGCGTCATTAATTTTATTATTAAAAAAATAATTTTTTAGTCTTTTCAGTTTTACATTTTGTACAAACCTTGGTATAACACTCTTTACACATAGTTTGTTTACCACATTTAACTAGTTTCTAGTTTGAAAATTATTATCATTACTTATTTCAATATTACATTTACTACAGATACTTGAATCTTGTATTTCTCTTGGTACAGATTTTTTTTATAACTCCAACATTCTTTACAAGTTGCATGATGCTCATCTGAATGATTCTTATTCCTATTTTGTACATTTGTACATTTTATACAAGACTTAGATTGATTATTATCATCCATTTATTTATCAAAAATTTTTGTTAGTAATATAATGACTTTCGTCACCGTATGTGAGAATATCATACAAATAAAGAAACATTTATTAAAAAGTTAATCAAATTATAAAATTAATTATAACATAGTTAAATACAATGATCCATTCGTTTTATGTAGTCCAGTCGTCAGAATATTAGAGCATGTAAAAATAATTATAATAAGGTAATAATAATACATACTTTAAGATGTAATTATTTGAAAAATGTTAATTTTTAAATATATCTTAAAAACAGACATTAATAATAAACGGGTATAGTTTTTATATATATAGCTGGAAAATTAATTGATTTTCAATTTTAGTAGTCTAATATGTATATTGTTCTAAATCAGATTTTTATGCTTAGTTTTCTAGGTCATTTTCCTATGTTCTATGCATTTTTTCAACAAAAACCATAGATTCAGTTGTTACGTCTGGCTCACATTTTTAAGAAATCATAAAAAACAGGGTAGTTTTCTTTATTTTTAGCTTAAAAACCTGGCTCACATTTTGGAAAAGGCCATAAAACCATAAAAAATAGGGAAGTGTGCATAAAAAGTTGATGTTTCAATAGATAAGATGGGTCTAAAAACAGGTCATTTTCTTAATTTTTTGTGACTTCAATGGGCTGTTTTTCAAATTCAACAAACTTCAACGACTAAAACTTGAAAATCGACACATTTTCTCAAAAAATTGATGTTTTTGTAGAATTGTGAGTTAGAATTTGGGGTTAAAAAATAAGGATAAAAACTCAAATTCAACGTTGTTTTTGATGTTTTGGTAGAAATGAGCTGTTTTTCAAACTCGACAAACTTCAACAACTAAAACTTGAAAATCGACTAATTTTTCTAAAAAATTGATTTTGGAAAATCTGAGTTAGAAGTTCTATACTATAATGTTTCAAAAATGCGTTAGCTCTTAATGGCTATAGCGACAAAACATAATTATCGCAAATTGAATGAAGATATTGCAAAAATTGAAAAATTTATGAGTGAAGTTGCTCCCAATTTAATTAACAAAGAGGACTACAAAAAGTTGTATTGAATATTTTGCAACCAACCAGAAAAATTTATGTTTATACAAGGACATAAAAAATTAATTAAATTAATTACAAGATGGTGCAAGAAAACAAGAAGTGTTGGGTTGCAATGTTACAAAACCTCCAGAACGTGACTTGTTCTTCGATGAGTACTGCAAGCTGCAAAAATTACCAGAACAACTTAACATTAAATAATAGTGATTTAAACAATAAAACAAATCAAATTTCTAAAGTAGTAAAAAATCGGTTCAAAAATAAATGTCAAGAAAAACAATATTGGGATCGTTATGTGGAAAAAATTGATATCAATTTTGCCACAAAATTTGTCATTCCAAATGACTTATATTGTACCATGCAATGCAAAACGTCATGTAAAATAATGAAGGCAGCAATGAAAGTTAATTATTCTAAGAAATAGGTTTATGAAATTTTTTGTAAACAATCATGTACACATTTGAATGAAGAGGGTATGGAAAATAAAAATTTATCATCGAAAAAAAAACAAGAAAATACTGAACAATCAGAGCAATTTACTAAATCGTACTTTCTTCTTCTAGTTTTGTAAAAGCAAATGAAAAATGTCAAAGAACTGCAAGACTTAGACGAAAGCGCGAAAAACAACTCACTTATTAGTGAGTGAGCCGGATTATTATCAGGCTCTCATTACTTTATATTTCGAAACCACTAAGGACCCAATAACAAAAATTATATAGGTTTACAAATACAAGGGAACTTTTTAACTACTGCAGACTTAAATATGGATCAGTCAGTAAGCAAACTTTTAAACTATTATTAAATATTTCAACAATTATTTCAAATCGTTGCAAGGAACGGATTATTTATAAAGACTCATTTTCATTATAATATGTTTTACGTTGGTGGTAGATTACTTTACGAAACTTTAATCAAAAACTTGAAAAATACTTTACCCTCTATTAGGTTCACTAAATAGATATGTAGGCAACAGTTCTTATCGAAAAAAGGTTAGGGACTTTTGATTTCGAAGGTTTATTAAAATTTTTGAAAGAACGAAAACTGAAAAACAGAAAAGAAATAAAATTCCTTAGAATAATGTTTATTTGGCCAAATCAGCAAAAACTATTGAAACTTATTTTAAGGAAACCCCTAGATCAAATTATGCCTATGTAGTAATGGCTCAAGCCTTATCTGCCTCTGCACCAGCATTTTGCCTTGCAATATATGAAACAGACAATAAATTCAGTGCTATTGATGATACACAAAGGTGGGAATATGTGAACACAAGTGAAAAAATATATGGTACAAATATTATTGGATTTTCGAGTGATGGAGATACACGGTTATTGAAAGCAATGCGGCAAAATGATGGACTTTCTTCTGATCACTCAAATATATACATTCCTGAACTAAATTGTTGTAGAACTACTGTAGATGACTCGGTAGATGATATCTATAATACTTCTTATGTTCAAGATATTGTTACGCAAACGATCTCATAACTGGTGCGGAGACGACTGCGGACGCTTAAAAAATTATCAATGACACAAAAACAATTTTAAGAAAAGGTGAATTCAAACTACACAAAATCAATTCCAATATCTCAAATACGACTAGTTTATCATTGCAACAAAATGACTCTGACCAGTCATGCTAGACAAGCAACACGACACTACAAAAGCACTAGATTTATTATGGAATTGCAAATCATACACCATAAAATACTGCAAAATTCGAAATATTACAAATTGACAAAGCGGGGAGTACTAAATGTCATCGCTGGCACTTCTGATCCTCTCGAGTTAGTGGGACCCATTACGATCACGGCAAAAATTATATTGCAAAAAATATAAGCGTCAGACCTTGATTGTCAGATGGCATTCTTTCTTAAATAACTTTCAATCTCTTCCATGCTTATCCATCCCGCCTCGCGTAAATTTTCATAATAATGAATTAGAAATTCATGCGATGCCAGCAAAATCACATACGGCGCTTACGTGTATCTACGTGCAATTGACGAAAATGGCAAATATCGAACAAGCTTCTTATGTTCAAAAAACAAAGCCGCCCCATTACGCTGCACGACAATACCACGATTAGAATTATACGGAGCACTATTGCTTGCGTAACTGGTAGACTCAGTCACAAAGGCTTTGGAAGTACCAGTCACTAATTGTAATTATTGGACAGATTCGAAGATCATATTAGCATAATTAAGAATGAGGCCAAACTGAAGTATGGTGGCGTGAGCAAAAATGATAAATGGAGAACCAAAAAACAATCTATCCCACAACATTGGGTTACCACACTTGCCGAAATTCCCGAAATATAGTCCACTTGCTGTCTGTTAATTAAAAATTCGAATCAATAGTTTGACCTACTTACAAAATTCTCCTCTTTTCAAAAATTAATTCGAATAGTAGCATTAGCACAACGGTTTTATAATAACATTGAGAAAAAAAATGATAGAGTAGATAGATAGGACCATCTAACTTGCTCAGAATTAGAAAAGGCCCATAATATCATAATTAAATTAGTTCAGAGAAAAACGTTTGCTAAAGACATGCGTAACATTCAAAATAATAACGAATTAATCAGTAACAGCAAAATCAAAACATTAAACCCGTTTATAGACGAAACCGGCCTTCTTGAAAACTCTACATTAAGTTATTGATCTCAAAAATCACCACTGTAACGTGTTAATTTTTGGGTTCATTGAGGACGCCTTTAATTTTCGTTCCTTGATGGTCAACATAACCTCAAATATCCTCAATGTGTGATCGTCTTGTGTGTTTTTGGAGTAGATTAATTAAAATTGGTCTGATTTCTGCAAAATCATTTATTTCTTAGTTTACAATAATTTCAACCGTTTATTTAATTTTCATTTTGACGTCA